CTTCCAAATGGGTGTCAAATTACCACACGTGAAGCCTATCCGTCTTCCACCGGTCACGCAGTGCCACATGCCCATTAGAGTTTTCTTTCTTTTTAAACTGAAAATATTCCTTCTCAAAACCGTCAGGGTTTCACCTGTATATACTGCATGCCGTATGACGCCTTCTAACAAGCCCTGAATTAAAGGAGGGACCTGGTACGACTAGCTTCCCAAGGAGACATATTCGGTGACTATTACTTGGCAGTCATTTATAGTAACTGCAGCCAGCTGAGCGAATTCATTTCTCATCATCTTCGTCTTCTTACCATTTATCCATATTCCAACTAGTCAGCTGTTTAATTCTAGCTCACATGCCATGGCCTCAACTTTTTTTTCCTTCATCTCTAACGATGTGATGTCTTCAGCAAATCGAAGATTAGTGATTTACGAGCCATTGCTTTAAAATTCTCCATTCCATTTCATCTCGCGGAACACTGATTCAATGTATGTGATGAATAGCTTGAGCGATAAGATATGTCCATTAGAAACCTTTATTCAGCTGGATCTTCAAACAGCTGAATCTCCGAGATGCAGCAAACGTAAACTTCTTGTACAATTCAGAAGTTTCTTTTTCTTCGACTACACTGTTCACATAAATATCAAATTTTTGAGTGTGACAACGATTCATTGAACAGAGAATAGTATTCCTACTGGCATAGATATCGAAGAATGTTCGTATACGGCGAGACGTGAGTCTGTTGTTGCAAAATCTACAATCGTTTATCTACACAACATCTGAAGGGCACTGATCCAAACTATCACTAATGACTTAATCAGAATAACCTACAGAAACTATTTAGCTTTAATAATTATGGGCAAACAGTGATTACTGAACAGAAACAAGATATTTTGCGCAGGTAAACGACGCTATCCAAGCCGTAAATGCAAACCCCGTCTCAGGCAGGGGTCAAAACGCACATAAACGTTCCGTGTCCAAGCCTAGTTTTGCACCTGAACTGACGTACTCGAAAAGATCATCTCGTTTTAGACAGATCAGAACTAGATTAGCTATGTCTGTTTCGAAAACCAATCTCAGCTGACACGAAAAAAATAAAGCACCTACACATAACCTACTACCAGTGGACAGGAACGGTCACAAACACGTACCTAGATGCCCGGTAGACGGTACCCAAATTGGCAAACGAATCCAAGTTTTTCCTTGAGCTCCTCCAAGCTTTAGTCAACCTTGGACGTTGCTCCAAAGAACGGTAGTGGCTATTTTAAATCTCCCGCCGTGATCATAAACA